CGCCGCCGCCTCCCGACTGCCGCTCCCCACCCGCTCCGCCGCCTTATATAGCTGCGCGAGTCCCGCGCAGGCGCGCTGCGTGCCCCGCCCCGCAGCCAATCAGCGCGCGGGAGGGGAGGGGCGTATCGCGTAGACACGCCCCCTCGCCGTTCGGCCGACCGAGCGCCGATTGGCGAGGCGGAACGTCGATCGCGCATTTCGGCCAATAGCAGAGAGGGGGCGGGCCAGGGCCGTACCACTCGCAGAGGGGGAGCTCCAGGCGCGCGGCTCCGCGACCTTCAGCGCCGCAATGAGGGCAGCGCTCCGCCCGCCCCCGCCCCTCGCTGGTACGGCCCAAAAGAGTCCGCGCCGCGCGGAGGGGCACCGAGCGGTGCTGCGATGTCGCCGACCCGGCACCGTTCCACGGAGCTCACAGCGGGAGCGGGCGAGCAGAGCCGGGAGGCAAAGGGAGAAAGAAGGGGGGTCCGGGCGGAGGAATCACGGAACCGCCGCTCTGTGATGCGGCTGAGGCCGCGCGGAGGGAGATGTAAACAAACCCGAGCGGAGCGAGTCCCATCTTAAAGGCGCCGCGTCCCTTTTTTCGTGGGTAGCGCCGGGGGGCGGCAGCGGGAGCTCCTGGAGCGGGCGGTGGGCGCCGCGGGGCGGAGAGCCGCCGGTGGTGCCGGGCTGCTGCCTCCCGCCCCTCAAGAGGCGGCACCGGGTGCGGTGGGATCTCGCTGCAGCCGATGGCATCGCGCTACGACGGTGTCACGTGTGGGGGAACCGAACCGACCCGACCCGACCCGGGGGGGCCGGCTGGCACCGCGCCCAGCCCCGTACGGGCGGTGCGGCCCGCAGCGCCCCGGCCTCGTTCGGCGCCCGCAGGGTCGGCACCGCCGGGTGACAAAAGCACGGCGCGCGGTGGGGCATCCCCACGGTGTTCCCCCCACACACACCGTAGGGCAGCGCACGCAGCCAGAACCGCACTGAAAAGGCAACTTTAATCAGGGGGGGCCGGGCTGAGCCCCGCCTGGCAGCGCCCTGACTCCCTGCCGTCTGTGCCCCTCCGGGTCCCCCCGCCCCGAGCGGCACCCGGGACCCCGCGGCTGCTCCGCCCCGAGCCGACGGCGGCGCGGCCTTCGCGGTGCGGGAGAAGCAGAACCGGGAGCGGCGGCGGCTGCGCGGGGCGCCGGGAGGCCGCGATGGGGACGCGTCACCTCTTCCTGCCCCGCCAGCGCCGCAGCAGCCACTGGGTGACGAAGGGCCAGGCCACGAGGAACAGCAGGGTGTGCGGGGACGCGGGTAGCGGCCACGGGGACTCCGCCTGGAGAGGGACAGAGAGGTGTGGGGAGAGGGGGCGGCACCCGGCACCCCGAGCGCTGCCGTCCCTTTTGTGCCCATCGTCCCGCTGGGGTCTCACCGCATCGGCTCCGCTGTTGTCAGGGACGGGGCACGGGGACAGAATTGCAGGGGGACGCGTTCCTCACGCCCGTCCCTGCTGCCTGCCCCACGGCCACCTCCTGCTCTCCTGCCGAAGGACCCCTCCCCAGCCCGGTCACCGCCCCCAGCAGCACAGCCGGGGTCACAGAGCCGCACGGACGTCGAGCACGGGCCGGCAGGGACTGCGCAGCGCTGCCTCCCAACCCACTCACCTGCACAGCGAGCAGCTCTCCGGGATCGGCCCCAGATGTGTCCTGCAAAACAGGAGGGGTTGTGGGGCACAGCCGGGCACCCCGTCCAGCCGCCGCGTCCCCGTCCCGCGATGCAATCGGGACCCGGGGCAATGGGAATCACGGGGGCAGCCCTCCCCGCTCGGCCCTGGGGCAGATTCGAGGGCAGCCCCCACCGTGCCGCGATTCGGCACAACCCACGCCCCGTCCCCACTCCGCCCCCGGCCCACCCCGAGCCGCCCACCCGTGGGAGCGGTGCCACGCACCTGCGTGGAGGTGAGCAGTTCCAGCTCGCTCAGCCGCTCCAGCACGCGCTGCATGTCGTCCTGCAGGGCCCGCACGGTGCCAGCCACGTGGGCGTCCAGCTCCGGCAGCAGCTGCTGCTCCGCGGCGGTGGGCTCTGCGGGGTTCCCCGCATCCTCCTCTGCCCCGGTGAGCTGCGGACCTGCGGGAGCAAAGGGAGGCGACGCTCAGACGCGAGGCAGAGCGCGCTGTGCGGCACACGGACGGCGCACCGCTGGCAGTAGCGGGGCTCTCCGTCCCAGCGCTGTTGGATGGAGGATCTCCGCTCCTCGGCCCAAACCTGCCCTGCCGCCTCCCGATAAGCCCGGCCGCCAGCAGACCGGCAGGTGCTGGCAACAGCACGGCTGCTCCTCGGCCCCCCGCGCCCGCCTTTATCGGCCTCGTTACAAGTTAACTCCCAAGGTCAAGCAGCCCCGGAGGTTTGCGAAACATCAGCGGGAGCTGAGCGTGGGCTGGGGATGGTGGCAGAACCCCAATGTCTGACAGGATGGGTACAGCCACCGTGCTGTTCCTCACTGCATCCCTGCTGGGAACCGCCAGGATGGCTGCGGCGGTTCCGTCCCCTGTGCCAGCACCTCCAGGGACACCGAGGCCGGCCCCACGGGAGCTCCCGGCCCCACCTGGCACACCCGTATCCAAGCCAACCGAGGCAGGCGCTGCCGGCGGGGCCGCAGCGCTGCAGCTGAAGGATGTACAGCATCCAGCACAGCCCTGACACTACGGGACAATAAAGGGGATCTGACCTGGAGGGGAAGCACCGAGCTGTTTGGGAACCAAGAGGTGAAGAGGGCGGATGCGGGCATTCGTGGCTGCCGACCATCGGTGCTCACAGCCTCACCCCAAGCACCCCAGGCAGGCGGGGAGCAGCGGGAGCCGGGCTGCACCCACCTCTGTCAGAGCCCCGGGCTGCGAGGTCGGCACCGCCGCTCCCCTCCCGTCTTCTGCCTTCACCCCGCGCCGCCCGCCCAGCCACGCGCCCGGCCGGGGCGCTCTTTGGGACCAGCCCCCGCTCAGCCAGCAGCTGCCCAGCCTGCGTGAGGGTAAAGAACGGCCCTGAGACCCCCGGGCCCCACCGCCAGCCCGCGAGGCCGGGGCTGAGCTGCAGCGGCTCCAGCTGTGCGCCCTCCTCCCCCGCCCTGCTGCAGCCCCGCAGCGTAGGAGCTCGGGGGTCTCGCAGCGCTCCCAGGAAAGCGGTGAGGAGCCGCCGGCAGCGCAGCAGTGTCTGTAAGCAGCGGGGCTGTCCTGCCTCGGGGGACGTTACCTGCTCAGGCTCCATCTGCTCCATGGTATCGCAGAACACTTCCCCCTCGGAGTCGCTGGTGCCCTGGCTGCCCTGGCGCGTGTCGGCAGCAGGAGCCAGCCCTGCTCCTGCAAGGAAGCACAGGCAGCGCCGGCGTGATGGGAGGCGGCTGCGGAGCCGCTGTGCGCGTGGGGCAAAAGCTCGGCACGGCCAGCAGTTCTGCGGGCAGCGGGAAGCAGAGGTGCGTGCACAAAACAAGGCCTGAACGCCGCAGCGGGAGGAGAAGCGCTCATTCCTGCCGCTCAGGGCCACAAAGCGTCGCTCGCAGCACGGGAAGGACGCTGAGGCACACGGGGCAAAGGGGCAGATTCATCGTGGCTGTGAATGCAGGGACTGCACCCTGCTGCGCTGCAGGGCCTGGCTCACAAGCCGGCACGGAGCTCCGTGGGAGCAGGGCTGCATCCTACACGGACCCACAGCACAGCCCTCAGGGAACGGCAGCTCACACCCCACGTGTCCCACCGGTCAGAGCCCTCACTGCTCGCCCTGCTCAGCTCCCTCAGGCACAGGCCGGGCGCAGACCAGCGCCGCTCTGTGACCACACGTGCTGCCGGTGGGAGGGCAGCCTGGCTCCCCCCAGCACACAGCTGACAGCAGGGGCTGCTCCGTGCAGGCACACTAAAACTGCTCCCCCAGCACTGTATTTGTGGCAGGGGCTGCACAACCCAGGACCAGGGCTCAGCACAGCAGCTCCTGCCCCGTGGGCTGGGCACATCCAGCTGGAGCTGAGGGATACTTCCACTATGGAACACACACCTCCCAGGGCGCTTTGCCCATCCGTGCCTTGCTCTATCCTCAGAATTAGGCCTCTGCACATAGCTGCAAGCAACGCAGTCACCCAACACGCTCAGGGTTATGCAGGGGGTCAGCAGCTGCCCCACAAGAAGCCCCGGCCCTGCATGACACGCAGGCGGGGTCGGACCAGACGTGCCTGAAGCCAACAGCTCTGCGTTGGGACGGAGGCCTGGCCCAGCCCCGTCGCCACTGCCTCTTCCGTGGGGTCTCTGCTGGCTGTTGGCCACACCAGGGAGACCAACCTGGCGTCTGCTGCCCATCCTGCTGCTCCTTGGGCAGTGCATCCTCCGGCCGCCCTGGGGCCGGGCTGCTCACTCGCTCCTCCTGGCTGTGCTCAGCTGGCTGCTCCTGCTCATCTGCACGGAGAGAAAGGGAGCAGAGTCAAAGTGCTGTGGATCTCCTTGCGGGGCTGCCCGCCCTCTGTGTGGATGTGGGGCACCCCACGCCCCCACCAGGTGTCGAAGCCCACGGGGTTAAGCACAGCCATGCAGCATTTCTAACAGCCAGGACTTTGCTCCCCACTCCTGGGCAGGCAGCGATGTGGCAATGCTGCCCTGCACCTTGCCAGGGCTGCCTGGGCACCACCAGCACCCACCCACCCAGCACAGCCTCCAAAAATCACCTCTCTCGCCTGGATTATCATTAACAACAGCTGCAATGACAACAACAACAAAAAGGCTCACGGTGAGGCTAAGAACCTTTAGCACAAATAACTCAACAGCTTAAGAAGTTGGTTGTTTTCAACCACGTTTCAGGCACCCGGTGTTTATCTGCCTCACAGGCAGTGTGAGGTTTGGATTTCAATGAGACTGTCATTTCGGAGTGACGGCAGTGCAGGAGGACACCCACAAGTGGGTAAGGATGGGGAGTTCAGACCTGGCTTCCACGTCACAGAGAAAAACGGTCTATTTATGTGTTATTCAGTAAAAGGAACAAAAGCACCTGCGAGGAAGCAGCCACTGTGAGGCCAAGCCATGCAGGAACGCACCCTACCAGTGTGCTTTGGGTGTCTTTGTGGATGCAGGGGGGACAGAGCGGGCAGCGAGTCTGTTCGTCACAGCTCTTTTGACATCAGCATAGCACTGCCAGTTTACACCTGCTGCCAGCACAGCCCAAAGCTCACCTGCTGCAGAGCGAACGGAGGCAGCACCCAGCAGCCACACGGACGGGTTTTTTCCCAGCGCAAGGCCGCCCCAACACCTCCCCACCCCCACAACCCTTCCCCAGCCCCGTTCCTCCGCACGCAGCCCCGTGTTTACATCAGGTGAGCGCAGCCTGGCGCCGTGCCTCGCGGGAGGAGCAGAGCCCGGCCGCCACGGCCATGTAGGGCTGCGCGCGGGGCGCTCGGCAGCCAGAGCTCGGCTTTTCTCCTCCGAGCTGCGAGGAGGCCGGAGCCGGCAGCGCAGCCCCACTCACCGCCCGGCCGTCGGAAGAAGCCCTCGGGGGGCCGCGGCATGTCGCGGATCACCTCGTAGAGCGGCTCGAAGTAGCGGAACATCTCCTGCGTCGCCTCATCCGGGCGCAGCGTGGCGATGATCTGCGGCGGCGGGCAGAGCGGCGCTGTGGGCCGAGCCGAGGGCGGGCGGCACCGCCCGGAGCCCCGCGGCCGCCGTTACCTTCTGGGCCACCTTCTTCATCTCGGCCACGTACGCGGCCATGGCCTCCTCCCTGCTCATCCTGCCCAGGCTGTGCCACGCGTCCCTGCGGGGCGGACGGCGCTGAGCCGGGGCCGAGCGGACCCCGCGGCGCCCGACGCGGGGCTGGGCGCTCCGTACCACTTGTAGCGCCCGATGGGGTCCCAGAAGCCGGGCCGGGGCTCCTGGCAGCGGCCCGCCGTCGCCTGCTTGTAGTAGCTGTAGAAGCGCAGCATCTCCTCGTAGGAAGGCCGGTACGAACCTGGAGCGCCGCAACGCCGTCAGCGCGGCCCGCGGCGGCCCCGGCCCCGCTCACCGCCCGCACTCACCGCTCCGCGGCAGCCCCTGGATAACGCGCACGGCCGCCTGGAACTGAGCCCTGCAGCCCGGCTCCGCCATGGCCCCGCTCCGCCGGCCCCGCCGCTCGGCTCCCCGTGAGGGGAAAGCGTGCGGCCAATCAGCGCGAGGCTTCCGTCGGCGCCGCCGTGCCGCGCCCAATCAGCGCGCCGCTTGCGAAACGGGACTCGCTGTCCCGCCTCCTCCGAGCCAATAGCGGCGTAGCGCGGGAGCCCCCTGCTGGAGGCGGGGCGCGCTGCAGCCAATGGGAGAGCGGTGTACGAGCGCTGTGGCGCCCCCTGCCGGCCGCCACGAGGAACAGCGCGGGGCGGGGCGGGAGGGAACCGAGTGCGGGGACGGGGAGTGGGGACAGGGAATAGGGGCGGTATGGGGCAGTGTGATGGGACAGGACATGGGGACAGGGAATAGGGGCGGTATGGGGGCAGGGAGTGGGGACAGGGATTTGGGGACAGAGATTGGGGGCAGGATATGGGGACAGAGAATATGGACAGGGTATGGGGACAGTGTGATGGGACAGGGTATGGGGACAGAGAATAGGGACGGTATGGGGGCAGGGAATGGGACGGTGTGATGGGGACAGAATAAGGGGACGGGGCATGGGGATGGGGTACAGGGACAGAGCATGGGGACAGGGAGTGGGGACAGTGTAAAAGGACAGGGCACGGGGACAGCGCAGAATAAAAGGACGGGGACATTATGGGGACATTATAGGGACAGTATAGGAACAAGGCGCTGTGGCATCGCCCCCCGCCCCGCACCGCCCCTGCATTCCTTCCCCGTGCGTCATCCGGCGGGGGGACGAGGGGGGGGGAAGCTGCGCTCACGCAGCGCTGTTTGCTCACCCCGACACGGTGCGGGATGGGGGGGGGGTGCGGCTGCACAGCGTGCATGCAAACACACGTACACACATGTATGTGCACGCACACACGTGCATATGGCCGCGCGCACACGTATGTGCATGCAACCCTCCTTCTCCCCCCCCCCCCGCCCTCCGATCCCAAATCTCCACTGCAAACCCAACCCCCGGGCTCCGTGCCGGCTCCTCCCGGTGCCGCCCCGCTCCTCCCCCGCTCCTCCCCCGCACGGCCCCGCGCGGCCCCGGAGCGCCGTACGATGATCTGCGGGCGGAGGGCGCGGCCCCGCCCCGAGCAGAGCGGGGGGGTCTTGAAGAAGTTGGGTGAGTGCCGGGGCAACGTGGTCGGGGGTCTCAAAGGGTGGGGGAGCCTCCTTGGTTGGGGGTCTTCGTGGTCAGCAGTGTCCCCCGTGGTCGGCATCCTCGTAGCTGGGATCCGTGTGGTCGGGGGGTCCAAAGGTTGGAAGGGTTCCCTGTGATCAGGGTCCCCGTGGTCAGGGGTCTCCTTGGTTGGAGTTCCCCGTGGTTGGGGGTCCGCATGGTTGGGGGTCACCGTGGTCAGGGGAGTCTCTATGGTTGGGCATCCGTCAGCTGGAGGTCACCACTCATGGAGTTCATCACAGCTGGGGGTTCCCATGGTGAGGAGTTTACCCCATGGTCAGGGTGCCCACAGTCGGGAGTTCGTGTGGTTGGGGGGTCTAATGGTTGGAGGGGCTCCCCGTGGTCAGGGGTCCCCATGCTTGGAGTTCCCCATGGCTGGGGGTCATCGTGGTCAGGGGAGTCGCTGTGGTTTGGAGTCCAATGATTGGTGGTCTCTGTGGTTGGAGTCCCCTGTGGTTTGGGGGTCTCCATGGTCAGGGGGGTCGCCCATTGTCAGGGTCCCCATAGTTGGGAGTCCACCTGGTTGGGGGAATTCCCCATGGTCAGGGGTCTCCATGGTTGGGACCCAGTAATTGGGGGTCATCATGGTAAGGGTCCTCATGGTTGGGAGTCCCCAAACTCATAGTTCCTCATGGTAATGGGAGACCCCATGGTCAGTGATCCCCATGGTTGGGGGTCCAATGGTCAGGGATTCCTATGGCTGGAGTTTCCCCATGGTTGGACATCCCCATGGTTGGGGGTCCCAATGGTCAGAAGTCCCCATAGTTGGAGTTTCCATGTGGTTGGAGTTCCCTCTGGTCAAGGGGGTCCCCATGGTCAGGGGTCTCCACAGTCAGGGTTCCTATAATTAGGGGTCTCCGTGGTCAGGGATTCCCATGGTTGGAGTTCCCCCAAGATTGAGGGTCCCCATGGTCAGGGGTGTCCCTATGGCCAGGGGTACCCATGGTCGGGGGTCCAGTGTTTGGGAGTTTCCCATAGTTGAGGTCCGCATGGCCAGTGGTCCCCATGGTTGGGAACAGCAATTTCCCACCGCAGGAGCGCTGCATGGCTGCTGGGGCTGCTCTCAAGGAGTGGTTCCAAAAAATAAATAAAAAGGAGGAAATAATTTCATGGAGAATAGACGGAAATGTCCCGTCAGAGCGGGTGTGTGGCCTCCGCCAGCCTGGGGACAGGGTTGGAGCTGTGGAGGGCGGGTGGCAGCCCTGCTCCTGGTGCTCCCACACTGGATTGCAGCAGCTTTGCTGGCATTGCACAGCTCTGGCCAAGAGCTCTGCAGTGTGAGCACAGCTCTGTGTCCACAGCTTGGCCGGGTCCCATCCCTCCTGGCTGCACAGTGCGAGAGGAGCTGACTGCAGTGGCCATCCCATCCCATCCCATCCCATCCCATCCCATCCCATCCCATCCCATCCCATCCCATCCCATCCCATCCCATGATGTCTGTCCTGTCCCATGTCATCTGTCCTGTCCTGTCCATGCCATCTAATAGTGTCTGTCCCTATCCCACTCCATCCCATCCCCTCTGCCCCATCCCATCCTGTCTGTCCCATCCCATGTCACCCTGTCCTGACTGTCCTATCCCATTGTATTTCTCCCATCCCATCCAACCCATCTTGTCATGTCTGTCCTGTCCCATCCCATTACATCTTGTCTGTTCCATCCTATCCCATCATGTCTCTCTCATCCCATCCCCATCCCCACCCCATCCCACCCCACCCCATCCTGTCTGTCCCATCCCCATCCCCATGCCACCCCATCCCCATCCGAACCCCATCCCACCTCACCCCACCCCACCCTGCCTCAACCCATCCATCCCCTTCCCTTCCCTTCCCTTCCCTTCCCTTCCCTTCCCTTCCCTTCCCTTCCCTTCCCTTCCCTTCCCATCCCCATCCCCATCCCCATCCCCATCCCCATCCCCATTTTACCCCATCCCACCCCATGCCATCCCCACCCCCATCCCCACCCCACTCAATTCCATCCCATCCCACCCTGCCCCATCCCATCCCACTTGTCCCATCCCACATAACCCTGTCCCATCCTGTCCCCTGCAGGGCTGTCAGAGGATGAGGACCTCCAGCTGATGCTGCAGGGCTCCCTGCTGCTCAAGGTGAGCTCACGGCGGGCGAAGGAGCGGCGGTACCGCCTGCAGGAGGACGGGATCACCGTGGTGTCTGAGCGGCGCTTCGGGCGCATGGCCTCCAAACACAGCTGTGAGTGCTGGCACTGGGGCTGGGGGCACTGGTGTGGGTTTGGCATGGCCCCCAGTATGCCCAGGTGGGCTAACCCTAACCCTAATTCTAACCATAACCCTAACCCTAACCATAACCCTAACCCAGACCCCATATGGGACCCGGACCCCAACCTTGGACTGCACTTGGTGATGCCCTGTGGTCCCCAGCCATGGACCAGTGCCTCCCAGTGCATCCCGTTGCATTCTATTTTATTCCATTGTCTTCCTGCATCCTGTGTATCCTATTGCCTTCCACTGTACCCCCTTGCATACTGATATATGTCAGTATCTCATCCTGGTATATATCAGCCTTCCACTGCAGCCAGTGTATTCCATCGCCTCTCCGTTCATCCAGTACCTCCCATGGCCTCCCAGTGCCTCCCAGTGTATCCCATTGCATCCCAACACCTTCAGTGCATCCCATTGCATCCCACTGGGTCCCATTGCTGCCCATTGCATCCCATTGCATCCCAGTGCCTCCCTGTGTATCCCATTATATCCCATTGCATTCCAATGCCTCCCAATGCATCCCATTGCATCCCATTGCATCCCACAGTGTCCCAGTGTCTCCCAGCATACCCCACTGCATTCCATTACATTCCAGTGTATCCTGTTGCATCCCAGTGCTTCCAAGTGTATCCATTGCATCCCACTGCATTCCATTTCCTCACAGTGCATCCCATTGCATCCCCATGACTTCCATTGCATTCCATTGCATCCCAGTGCCTCCAAGCATATTCCATTGGATCCCATTTCCTCCCATCGCATCTCATCGTATCCCCATGATCCCAGTGCTTCCAATTGCATTCCAGTGCCTCACAATGCATCCCATTGCATTTCAGTGCATCACATTGCATCCCAGTGCATCCCAGTGTCTCCCATTGCATCCCAATGCATATTATTGCGTCCTAATGTATCCCAACGCATATTGGATACATTGCATCCCATTGCGTCTCTTTCCCTCCCATTGCATCCCCCTCCATCCCATTCTTTCCCATTCTATCCCGTTGCATCCCAGTGCCTCCCAGTATATTCCACTGCATCCCAGTGTATCCCACTGCATCCCAGCTCCTTCCATTGCATCCCTCTGCATCGCAGTGCCTCTCAGTATATCCCATTGCATCCCAGTGCATCCCATTCTTTTCCATTGCATCCCGGTGTATCCCATTCCCTCCCATTGCATCCCAGTGCCTTCAGTGTATCCCACTGCATCCCACTGCATCTCATTGCATCCTATTGCATCCCTGTACCTCCTAACATATCTGATTGCATCCCAGTGCCTCCCATCACATCCCATTACAGCCCATTGCATCCCAGTGCCTTCCAGTGCCTCCCAGTGTATCCCAATGGATCCCAGTGCCTCCCATTGTATCTCATTGCATCCTAGTGCCACCCAGCATAACCTGTTGCATACCATTGCGTCTCTTTCCCTCCCATTGCATCTCAGTGCATCCCATTGCACCCCATTTCCTCCCATTGCCTCCCAGGATATCCCATTGCCTCCCACTGTGTCCCATTGCATCACAATGCCTCCCTATATACCTTATTGCATCCCAGTTCCTGCCATTGCATCCCAGTGCTTTCCAGTGCCTTCCAGTGCCTCTCAGGGTGTCCCATTGCCTCCTGTTTCCTCTCTGTCTTGCCTGGGATTTGTGCCTTTGGCGCAGCCCATGGGGACGTTAGTTGGCTCTGGTGTCCCCATGTGATGCTCACTGGAACCATCCCTGTGTCCCCGCAGTCTCTGTTGCACACATTGTGTCGGTGCACCGGGGGCACCATTCGGAGGGGCTGCGGCGGTACGGCTGTGCCATCCCCGAGTGGAACTGCTTCACCATCGCCTTCGAGGGCGGGCGCAGGAACCTGGACCTGGGGGCACGGGATGAGGATGTGGCACTGCGCTGGGTGCGGGGGCTCCGCACGCTGCGGGGGAGGCTGCGGGGCATGAACCAGAGGGAGAGGCTCGAGCAGTATCCTATGGGTCAGCGGGGGTCCTGGGAATAGCCTGAGGGCATCTTGGAGACATCTAGGGACATCTCATGGACAGCCTGGGGACATCGTGGGGGCATCTTGGGGACAGCCTGAGGACAGCTTGGCAACATCCCATGGGGATGTGTTGGGGCAGCCTGGGGACAGTTTGGAGACTGTTGGAGTAATTTGGAGACAGCCTGGGGCATCTCATGGACAGCCTGGAGACATCCTGGGGACGTGTTGCAGATAGCTTGAGGACAGTCTGGGACATCGTGGGGATAGTTTGGACACAGCCTGAGGACATCTTGGTGACATCTCATGGACAGCCAGGGGACTGCTGAGAACATTTGTGGACATCTTGGGGACAGCCTGGGTGTATCTTGGGGACCTCCTGAGGACAGCTTGGGACAGCTTGGAGACCCTTTGGGGACAGCTTGGGGACAGTCTGGGGATATCTTGGAAACATGTTGGGGACAGCTTGGGGACAGTTGAAGGACATGTTGGGGAAAGCTTGGGGCAGCCTTGGGATACCTTGGGGATATGTTGGGGACAACTTGGGGACAGTTTGGGCGCTTTCCTTAATGCAGCACAGCTGGATCCATGGCATGCTGCAGCGTGCCGATAAGGACAAGGACAACAGGATGTGCTTCCAGGAGGTGCAGATCATGCTGCGCATGGCCAACATCCACATGGACAATGCCTACGCCCACCAGCTCTTCAAGGTACTCTCTGTCACCTGATGTCCCTGTCCGTCACCAACCAGCCTAATCCAGAGGATAGAGGGCTGGGGATGATGACAGAGGGGACATGACCCACCCAGCTCCATAACGCATGGGATGGGGACTGGGGACAATGACAGAAGGACATGACTCACACAGACCCAAGGTGACCCATGAGGCCCCAAGATCCCCCTATTGGGATGGGGACAAAGAATCGTTGGGTGTCACCATGCCACATCCATGGTGGGCAAGGCAGTGAAGAGGTGGAAGACACCCAATGGGACTTGCACATTCCATGGGTGCCCCTGGGTAGCTGAGACTCCCAAACACATCCCAGCCCAGGTGGGTCCTTTGGGGTTAGAGCCAATGGCTGCTGTCCCAGTAGGAATGTGACCACTCTGGTGATGGGCAGTTGGAGGACCGGGAGCTGGAGGACTTCTGCCGGCGGCTGCTGCGGCGCCCGGAGCTGGAGGAGCTCTTTGGGCACTATTCTGGTGAGGACTGCGTGCTGTCGGCCGAGGAGCTGCGGGATTTCCTGCAGGACCAGGGCGAGGAGGGCACCCTACACCAGGCCTGTGCAATCATCTGTGCCCATGAGCTCAACGAGAAGGGTAGGGATGGGGACTTCCCCACTGGAGGGTGGGTGGCTGAAGGGCTGAAGGGCAGAATGGGTGCCATGGGGACATGGCGGTGGCCACGAGGTGGGCTTGAGGTTCTCCAGGGCTGGACAGAGTGTCCCTTTGTCCCTTTGTCCCCCTCACCCTTCCATGGAGGTGGCCTTGCCCTATCTTGGTTGTGGACATGAAGGTTGGGATGGACACCAAGGGACCTCCATGTGCCCTATTGCCATCCCAAGGGTGAACGTGGCACTGCCGTGGGGCAGCAGGTTGGGAGCAGTCACCCCCGTGTCCCTGTAACCAGCAGGATGTGGGAAATACACCAAGGGACTTCTGTGTGCCTTGTGTGCCATAGTGCCAACCCAAAGGTGAATATGCCAGGAGACTGCAGGAGGAGACGGGACACCCAGGGGACATTTGTGCCTTAGTGCCCTGCCAGGTGGGGACATTGGGGTGGGGACAGAGGACCTCCACCTCTTGTGGGTGCCACTATGCCATGTCCATGGTGGTCAAGGCAGTGAAGGGATGGAAGACACCCAGTGAATGGAACTTGCATGTCTTCTGGGTGCCACAGTGCCTGGGGCGAGCATGGCACTGCCAGGGGACATCCCACAAAGTGCTTCCTCTGCCACATCCCCCAGCCCGGCAGCAGGGCCTGATGACACTGGATGGCTTCACGATGTACCTCCTGTCAGCTGCTGGTGACATCCTCAACCAGGAGCATACCCAGGTACACCAGGACATGAGCCAGCCCTTGTGCCACTACTTCATCTCCTCGTCCCATAACACCTACCTGACCCGCAACCAGATTGGCGGCACCAGCAGCACTGAAGCCTATGTCAGGTGGGTCCATGAGGTGACACAAGTACTGATCCAGCGGTGGTGGACCGGGTGACATGGGGACTCACTGGATGATGTGAGTGACGTGGGGTGACACGGGGACTCATCCTGCGGTGTAGGGCACTGATGATGGGATGCCGCTGTGTGGAGCTGGACTGCTGGGAGGGTCCCGATGGGGAACCCATCGTCTGCCACGGCCATACATTCACCTCCAAAATCCTCTTCCGTGATGTCATTGAGGCTATCCGCGATTACGCCTTCAAGGTAAGGCTGGTGCCATCAGCCCTGGGTTGGGCACTGCGTGCTGGTGCTCAGTGCTGCCCACTCCCATGCCCATCTCCTAGCGATCGCCGTACCCCGTCATCCTCTCGCTGGAAAACCACTGTGGGGTGGAGCAGCAGGCCACCATGGCGCGGCACATGAAGGCCATCCTTGGGGACATGCTGCTGACACGGCCCCTGGAAGGACAGGATCCCAGCGTCCTCCCGTCCCCAGAGGTAAGGCCATCCGTTGTGGTGTCCCCATGTCCCCATGCAGCCCTGAGCTCGGCCCTTGGTCCTGCAGCAGCTGAAGGGGAAAGTCCTGGTGAAGGGGAAGAAGCTGCCAGAGCTGCAGCGTGAGACCAGCGGCGTCACCTCCATCCTGGATGAAGAGGAGGAAGAGGAGACAGAGGAAGAGGACAGGCTGCAGGTTGTAAATTTTTTGGGGGTCTCCATCACCTTGGGGTCTCTATCACCTTAGGCTGTCCATGCTTTGGACTAACATCTTGGGATGTCCATTGCTTTGAGTTGTCCTTTGCTTTGGGGTATCTGACATCTTGGGTTGTCCATTGCTTTGGGGCCTCCATCACTTTGGGGTGAATTCACAGGCCAAAGATACTTCACATGTGGCCCCAGAGCTGTCAGCCATGGTGGTGTACTGCCAGGCCACCCCCTTCCCTGGCCTGGCCCAGGCCCTGCAGCAGCCCCGGCCCTATGAGATGTCCTCCTTCAGTGAGAGGAAGGCCCGGAAACTCATCAAGGAGGCAGGTAAGGGCAGTGGGATGGGGACAGAGATGGGGACAGAGCTGCTCTGGCCTCTCCAGGACACAAGGTTGTGGTTCTGGGTTGCTGAGGTGGCCCGTGGGCTGGGTTTGGGTACTGGCACAGGATGCTCAGGACTGGTGGGAATGGGGGCTCTGGTGGAAAGGTCAACATTTGGGATCTGGCGTTTGGGTGCAGTGTGTCTGTTTGGGATCAGGTCTGGGGTTGGGATTAAGTTCAGGTTTTGTGGTCCAGACTCAAGGTTGGGTTCTGAAGTTTGGGGACAGGTTTTGGAGTCAGGTTTTGAGGTCTGGGGCACCATGTGGCCCCCACCCCACCCAGCTGTCCCACTCAGGCCCCACGTTTGTGCACTACACCTCCCGGCAGCTGAGCCGTGTCTACCCTTTGGGATTGAAGATGACCTCCTCCAACTACAACCCCCAGGAGATGTGGAACGCCGGCTGCCAGCTGGGTGAGCCCTCAGCCCCGTACGTCCCCTGAAATGCAACATCCACCCCAATGGCCCCATCTCTGTCCCTGCAGTGGCCCTCAACTTCCAGACGCCAGGCTACGAGATGGACCTGAACACCGGGCGCTTCCTGGGCAATGGAGGCTGTGGTTACGTGCTGAAACCCCAATTCCTGCGCAGCCCCCACAGCGGCAGCCCCCGCCCCCTCGTGTTGCGCATCAGGGTGAGGGTCCCCTACCGCTGCCACCTGCATCCCGTATGGTGACACCAACCCTGTATCCAGCTACGTGCCACCCGCCATCCCTTCCCAGTGTCCCTTCCCACAGGGACCCCCACGGTGCCACCCTGTCCCCCTGCTGTCCCCAGGTCATCACGGCACAGCAGCTGCCAAAGCTGAACCGGGAGAAGCTCAGCTCCATCGTGGACCCCTTTGTTAGAGTGGAGATCTACGGGGTGACGGCGGACTGCAGCAAGCAGCAAACTGCCTACAGGAGCAACAATGGTGATCCCATTATAGTCCCCATTCCTCTCAGTGCATGTCAACCCAGTCCCATTATGGTCGCCATTCCTTGCAGTGCATCTCAGTCTGGTCCCATTATGATCCCCATTTCTTTTAATATACCCCAGCCTGGTCCCACCTTTGCCTCCAGTACATCCCAGTGCCATCCCGTTCCACCTGGTACATCTCAACTGGTCCCATTATGATCCCCTTTCCTCTCAGTACATTTCAACCTGGCCCCAGTTTGGTCCCCATTCCTCCCAGTACATCTCAGCCTGCTCCCATTATACCCCATTCCCTGGGCAATGACCTCCCCTGACATCCCTGTAGGCTTCAACCCACGCTGGGAGGAGACGCTCACGTTCCAGCTGCAGGTCCCTGAGCTGGCGTTGGTGCGCTTCGTGGTGGAGGACCACGACAGCACCTCCTGCAATGACTTCGTGGGGCAGTTCACACTGCCGCTGGGCAGCATGCGAGAAGGTGGGTGCCCCCCTACTGGGGGAGGGGACAACCCTGTGTTTCCTACTCAGTGTCTACTCTGTCCCCAGGGTACCGCCACATCCACCTGCTCTCCAAGGACGGCGCGTCCCTGGCCCCCGCCACGCTCTTTGTGCACGTCACATGCAAACGCCCATGACGTCCCCATGGCCAACGTGCTCCTGCATGGGGTGCAGGGACAGAATGGGGACACTGCTCTCCAGTCAGGGTGACAGCAGGGCTGCCTGGGGTCTCCAGTGGGGTAGAGGACCCTGTCTGTCCCCCATTTGCTGGTGCTTACACCCCACTTTTCCCCTCTGGCTGAGGCCAGGAGATGGGGACGTGGTGACAACCAGGACAGGGTGGCCCAGCCACCACGTTCCCAATGCATCTGCAGGGACATGATGGTGACAGCAGCTTCACCAGTTCCATCCCGACTCCTTTGGGCTGCAGGGATGGTGCCTGCCACAATGTCCCCAGGGAGACCCTGCCACCACAGCTGTGGCGCAAACCACATGGTTTGGTGCTTGAGAACTGTTGACAGAGATTTGTACCCAGTGCCCAGTGGGTTGAATAAAGGTTTATTGAACAGCTTGCCCTGTGTCCCCTTCACCTGCTGTTTCCTGCAGGAGGAGCAGCTTTGGGGACAAAGGGAGGAGATGCAGGGGGAAATGGCTGAGCCCCCTTTTCTGATGCTCTCCCCAGTGCTGGGGGCTTGTTGGAGCCTGATTCACCCCACTGTCCCACAGCCCCAGAAAGTCCCACATGCTCCCAGCTCAATACTCGTAGCTGATGTCCCCATCACCACTGCAGGGTGGCTCTTGGCTCTGTGGGGCACAGGAGGGGATGCAGAGCTGCTTGCATAGTAGGGGGACAGGGAGACTGGGAGTGCATAGATGGGCACATGCAGCTTTGGAAACCTTTGGCGTGGAGATCAAGAGCAATGGAGTGATGGAAACAGACATCTTCTTGGGAAAAAGGGTTCCATGGAAGAATCTGATCCTGATTCTGAGCCTGTGCAGGAGGCACTGGGGCAGTGGGAGAGGCTGAGCCCCCAGGAAGGCTGATGGCACGTTGTAGGGCATGCAGGCTGGACTTCGATGGCGTGGAGAGAAAAACATCTGAGCACAGTGCGCCGAGGTGGCATGAGGTGGCAGATGTGGACGTGCTCCAAGCTGGGTCCCCTACATCTTCGCCCTGAGGGTTCGAGTCTCCGAGGCTGGGGAGGAGAAGGGACAAGGCATTGCTTGCACAAATAGCCCTTAAAACCAAATATTGAGGTGTTCCCAAGCAGGGAGGGATGGCACCAAGGAGCAGGTGGTAGCCTTCAGCAGCTGAATGCATTCGTGCCAGTTTGGAACAGGAAAGATTTAAAATATATATAATATATACTTTTATTATTCACCCGTTAACTCCATTATATGCCAATCATGAGCTAGTTTCAGCAGTTACATTCCCTTGATCATGTCTTTAGGAGGATGCAATTAATTCAAAACAAAGGAGAGCACTGCCTGTGCCTGGGGATGCAGTCGGTGACATCAGTCGGGGCTGGCAGGGCTGGCTCACTTCCACGTGGGGCCACGTTCAGCCGGGCCAGGCTCCTCGGTGACACCGTGCCATCCTCACAGGGTCACTTACTGCAACACCAGTCCAACCTGGAGAGCAAGGAGATGTGGGTCGCAAGCGATAAGTGACCGTCTGCTACCTCAAACCCAGCCTGGATGGACGGAATTCCCTGCCCATTGCTGCTGGGAGGGCTGCAGCCCCAAACACATCAGCTCTCTCGGTGAGGAGCTGCTCAAGCAGCCCTGCAGAGATCTCTGGGAGCTCAGTGATGGAGCAAAGCTGCGCTGAGGTGCGTGGATTTGTACCCTGTGGGAGCTGAGTGACTCAGATCAGCCCGAACTTTGCAGCTGGAGGAGGTGTCAGAAATCCCTAATTCCACACCTGTCAGACCTCACACCTCTAACGAGCTGCTCTGCAGGCTCTCCTGCCTTTGGGATGGCAGAGATCTAATGAATGCCATTAGTATTAATGAGCTGTCGCGATGCCACGTGGGCAGACTGCAGGAGCACTGTGCTGCACAGCAGGACAGCTCCTGGCTCTCCAGGGCTACTCCCAGTGTGGTTCCCATCCCACCCAGGACTCCCAGATGGATGCTGAGCCACAATGCTGTGCAGTGGAGCAGTTCAGCTCCCTCCAGAGGAGCTCTTGTTAGTACTGTCCCACCATGGTGTCTGTACCAGGCTGACACATAGCCCATTGTGCTGCACAGTGGCACTCAAGACACAGAGAAGGGACTGCTGCACCCACAGGTGTGTGTCTGCCAGCCCACAGCCTCCTCTCAGCCGCAATTCCCCACCTCTGGAGCCCGTCCCACACGTCCTCTGGGCTGGAGGACCCCACTCACCTTCTCCGGTGCCATGCTGGGACATTTCCAATTGTACAGGTAATACTGCAGGTTCCCATCCCCAATCCCAAACTTCAGCTTCTCCAGGAAAGTTTTGTTTTCCATGAGATCCAGTGCATTGAAGACATCAAATCCTTTCTGTATGAGCAAAACACAAAGCCATCAGCTTATGGGCTGGTCAGTTCTCCCGGGTGTGTGCTTCCTGACCCCTCTCTGACTCTCTGCACCCCAAAAAATGAGGGTGATGAGGCTCCAAGCCGCCCAGCCCCGCTGTGCTCACCGACTTGGCGAGGATGAGGGCGTCGCTCATGAGGTCGATGAGAGGCGTTTTGGTGTGGACGTTGTAGAAGGAGTAAGCAGCTTTCAGGCTCTTGTGGGTCGGGTGGTTCATGATGGTGGAGGGCAGCGTGTAGAAGCTCAGGAAGTCTGTCACCTCCCCTGGGGTGCTCTGAAAGGCAAAAGTGTGACACCGCAGTGTGTCAAGGCTGGGTTAATGCCTGCCCAAAGCCTTTAAACTGTAGAATGGGAGCACTGATCTGCTCCCTTCTCTGCTCTCGGACCACCCAGCTCTTTCCTGGAGGGTGAAACTCCCTAAATTTCCACATGGCGTTTTCAGTTTCAGACTGCTGTACATGCTGTATGGATGGGTTTGAAGTTATGGCCTTGGACTGGATTTCATATGCATCACTCCATTTCTGCCTCCTCTGCAAATGCCCCTTTAGTTTCCCTGCCATAAAAATGTGGAGACTTGGGGATGTGGTTGATGGGCATGGTGGGGATGGGTTGGGACTTGGTGAGCCCAGAGGTCTCTTCCTGTGTGCTAGGAGTGGGCATAGTGGGGTTGGGTTGGGGTTGGAATCGGTGATCTTGGAGGTCTTTTCCAACCATAATGATTCTACAATTCTAAGGCTCCTTGAGGGCTGGGCAGCACTCCCCGCATGGGAAGCAGCACCCTGCAGCAGCTCACACCAAGATGATCCCAAGAAAACAGCCCTGCCTCGTTCCTTCCCCTCACCTCCACCACGAAGGTGTCGATGATGTTCTCCTGAGGTAGGAACCAGTGCTCCACTTCCTCTTGGCTCATGACGGGCGTCAGGTGGAAATGCTTCAGGCACTCGGTCAGGAGCTTGTGCACTGCAGGGATGTCTTTGTGCTCCATTGGCCGCAAGCCGGGAGTCTTGGGGGTCTGCAGAAAGCAAGAAAAGTCATTTGCACTACTTATAGGGCAGCTTTGTCTCCTAAGGCCTGCTTTCACTCCCCAGATGCCTCTGAGCTGAGATGTGGGTCGGACTTTCTGCTCAAAAAGCAGCAGTTATAGAAAAGCAGCCTTCTCCAAATGAAACAATCAGCTCCCACCACCAGAAGGAAACAAACAAGGGCAGGGCAGGTGGTGGCAATCTGAACGCTTTGTTTTTCTCCTCTATCCAGATGGGGAAGTTCCCCAGCAGGACAACGGTGGCAACAGAACCCATCAGTGTGACTGAGGAATGAGAGACTGACCCAACTCAAGGTCACTGTGAGGCTGTGTTTGGACAGATGAGGGCTGTCACATCTGCATTCCTGTTCTACCAGGAGGATGAGATATGAGTCACTGTGAAACAAAAGATCACAGGGGTCCTGTGGTTGCAAGGAGTTGCCCTCAAAATGCAGGTACCCGGGTAAAATAAGCAATGATTAAATAAAACCTAATGGCTTGATAAAGCTATTTACTACATAAACCAATGTCCGTTCTCCACGCAGAGGATTCAGCCTCAGCTGAGGTCTGTGTGTGTCCAACTCCCAGCTCACCCACCTCGGGCAACCGGTAAAGCTTCATGGTGCGTTGCATAGTCATGTTCCTGCTCAGGTGGGAGAATTTGACCTCGATGAGTTTCCGAGGATTCAGGGAGCGGTGCCAGTACCTGCACAAACACATCTGCTGGGGGAGATTGTTTGTGGGCAGCAGGAAGGAGCATAAGGTTCTCAAAGCTGCCATGAGAGGGCAAGCAAGAACACTGCAAAGGGGATGGTCAGGAGCTCCAGGAGAGAAAAACAAGAGTGTGTGCTGCAGAGCCTCCTGCCTTGTGGTAACGGAGCAGCTTAAGCAAAGCTGCTGGGATAATCCCTGAAGGACACTGCAGGGAGGAGAAACCTGGGCTGGGGCTGACGTGTGCTGCCCCAGAGAGTCCCACACCAGTAAGTGCAGCCACCCCCATCCTCTGCAGCACAGCAAGGGGCGGTCCGTAGAGCTTTTCATCAGTCCTAAATCTTTTCAGAGAACTGGAGCTCACCTGCATGTCCCCACAGGCTTTGGCAGCACCACTCCGGCTGTGTAAACAGCCTGAAAGATCCCCTCCAGGTGAACCCTCCGCGTGATCTCGCGGATCAGGACTGGAGCCACTCGTTTCGAGCGCAGCTTTTTGTGGACACACAGGAAGTTTATCTCCACCATCTTCTTTTCTCTGTGGAAAGAAACAATGCAGAGCGTGAGACCCAACTGTGCTGACCGGGATCCAACGCCCTGAGCAATTTAATTCCAGCTTCCCTGAGACACAGACAAGTCTCATGGGAGGCCAAGAAGCAAGGTCTGGCTTTGCAGAGCTCTCCTTGAAGCTGCCACACAAGGTTTTCCCAGGAAACAGAGTCTCCAACCAGCCCTGGAGGATTTCTGTAGGGCAGAGCTCTATGCTGATCTCACTCACAGTGAAAACAGCCCTCAGGGCTGTTAGCTACGTGGCATCCTTGCACAGAACCTTGCAGCCCATCCTAAATATCCCCGACCTTGTCCTCCAAGCAGCCAAGCATCTCCATGGCTGAAGGGCATTGACCTGAAATGCCACCAAGGGACAGGATGAGAAACTCACGTGAGCAGAACTTACGTTTCATAGATGTGGATGGTGGCAGGAATCGCACTGATAAACCCAACCAGCTTCTTGCTGGAGACCACTCTCACACCACAGTGCCACTGGGGCAGCCAGCCTGGGGGACGCAGCGCCCTGGAGGAGAGACACATGCTGGTGGTCACAGCACACCCAAGGTTCTACATGCACCTCCTGCTGCTTCCCACCTCCCTGAAACATCCCAAAACCTGCTCCAGGCCACCGAGACACCCAGGCAGGAGGACAAGAGGCAACCACAAAGTGACACTGCAGGAACACTGGGAGGTATTCCTGCTCTTTCTAGCCAGGGCCACCGGTGACACAGGAAGAAATCAGCATTCCTTGATTCATGAACGCCCTGAGGAAACAGCAGCTCAGCTGTAACAGGTCTCCAAGTGTTATTGCTGGCAGCATTACTTGGCAGTCACCTTCATCCTGCAGCTCTGGGTCACTGGGAAGCAGCTGCAGTGCTCTGGCCGGGGTTAAGCCGGCAGCATCCCGCACCCTCTGCTCTGCGGCTGTGCTGCCACTCACCACAGCAGGAACTCAGGAGAGTAGTCGAAGCGGAACATGTTGTCATCATCTTCCACGTAGTTCTCATTCAGCAGCGTGTACAGCTCCTTCAGCTAAAGGAGAGATCAAGCAGGTCAAGCGAGTTATTCAACCAGCATTGTTCATCTGCTGAAGCCAGCTGCCCTGAACCAGGACCCAGAACACTTCTGGTGTGGCTTCAGCACTCCAAAAATCACTTCCAGACATCAAAGCACTGAACCAAGCGATGGGGACTCACACACTGAGCTGCCCCTACTCACCACGCCTCTGTCCCCAAGGTCCAGCGCGTCCCAGGTGAAGCCCTGGGGCAAAGTGTATGGCTCCTGGCGGATGTTGTCCTTGTCTGGTTCAACGGGGCCGTGGGTGTTCACCACTTCTCCTGCCAAAGAGAGCAGGGAACTATGAAAATCACCGCCATCCCCACAGCACCTTGTCTGACCATGCCCATGGCACCTTCTCTGGGCTCTCCGAACCTCAGCCTTCATGCAGGCAAAGCAGCCACAGCAGCGTGGCTGTCAAGAGACGCACACCCCAGTGATGAGAAATTGCCTTCAAATGGCACTGAAAAAGTTTCCAGGCAATGAGGACGCAAACAAAGCCCACAGCAAGAACTGTCCCCACCTCCGCTTCTGGAAGTGCTCATCCATGTAACACTGCATGCCTAAAACACTGAGATGGACAGTGGGGCAGTCAGCCAGAGCACAGTCAGCAGTTTGGTGCACTGTGGCTGTTTGGTGCCGCTCCTTCCCCACCCCTTTCATGCTGTACCTCCCAACTAATGGAGTTTACAGGCACAGAAGCGATGTTTGCCACGTCAGGATCCTCTGGTGAAAGGGGCAAACACAAACCAGGCTTTGCTGCCTCGGTAACCCCGTGCCTTTGGTATTCCACAATGATTTCCCAGCACAAGCACAAAGAGGGACCAAAGCTGGGTATCACTTCCAGCAAACAGCCCTTTGAGACCAAACAAAGCCTCGGACGGGTGCTGACAGCATGAAAAGGGAATCAAACGCGGTGTTTGCAGCAAGAGGGGCTGGGAACTGCCTTGTGAAGATTGTGCAGACAATCTGCAGCCACAACAACTTCAGATAAACCTGCATACTATGCTCCCATCTCCTGTGAGGGCTTCTTGGGACAGCCTGGGGGCTATGGAGCACGTACCGAGCTTGGGCACCGGCTGCGTGTCCCAGAACTGGTAGCTGCGCTTGCTGGCCTCCTCCATGGTTTTGGCAGGGCCCTGGCCTACAGAGAAGAGCTCAATGGCTTTCTGAATCTCCTGGATCCTCTCAGCGGGCAAAGAGTTGACCTGAGGGCAAAAAAAAAAAAAGGACAAAATGAGGATGCTGAGCTTGTAGGTCTGTGTTTCAGCTCCTCATGAGGAGTGCTGGGGGGTACCAATAGGGTAGGGACAAACCCTGCACCCCCCATGCTCCTTCCCAAGGCTCTCGCTGCTAGTCCAGGGCAAAGCCAAGAGGGGCAGACAGCCCCTGCTGCTGTTCTTATGTTAATTAAACAAAAATCAACACCAAGGAATGTTGTCCAAGTATAGGAGAATGGGTTTGTTGTGCTGGCAGCCGGGCACGGTGGCACAGAGCGGCCGTTCCCTGCCATCCCTGCTCTGGTTTTGGGAAGAGCAGCTGAGAGGCGCCAGTCTGAGCCTTTCAGTGGAGCTGGCTTTGATACCCAGCAATGGGCTGCATTCACCCTGCAGCAACACCTCCCGCAGCAGTGGGAATTCCCATGCACTGAGCCAGGAAATCACTCTAAATATGAAGGCTTTTGAGCAGCCAAGTGCCTGAATACAACAGCAGGCAGTGTCAGCACTGGGATAATTTTGATTGCCCTGAAAGGTTTGAGATGTTCACCTTCATTGGCTGGTCCTGAGCCTGGTCAGGCTGATCTCCTCCTTTTTCTTTCTTCCGTTTTGGTTTCTTTTTCTTCTTTTTGGTTCCACTGTCATTCGCTGGACTCAAGCCACTAGGAAACAAAAGAAACATCATTGCAGCTTTTGGGTTGGTTTGTTTTTGGTGGTTTTTTTTGAGGACACTTACACGGTCTCTGAAACATCCTAAGGAAAATAAAAGCTCCCTGTTCCAAGCCCTGGCTTCACAGTCCCCATCCTTCCCTTGTCCTCCAGCTGAGGACCATGCATTGGTTGAGGTTGGAGGTACCTCTGGATGCACTGGGGCCATCTGAGTTGGTGGCCAGGACCAAGGGCTCCCTGCCTGCATGGTTAAAGGCTCCAGCAGCTTCCACACCAGGAGAAACCCCACTGCCAAAGCCAAGAGATCTGTGTGTGTGTGGATACGTCCTTGTCCAGGGACCCACACAGCATCACTCCACTCCAAACTCCTGCTAATATGTTCAGCCCAAGTGGTATTATTTTACCAACAAGTAGAAGAGGGGAGAAAAACCTCCTTCATTTATGAGTGAAGATGTCGTGAGCAGGAAGAAATCAGAGCTGAGTGTTCCGCATTAGCAGATTTCAGCTGGGGAATGAATGCAACCCATCAGGCAAAGCACAGAGGAAACGTAATGCAGTGAATGGGAGCTACGCCTGAGTCCTTGGGACTCACAGCCATGCTTGGAGGGATTTTCAATTTTAAACCCACTTAGCAAAGCAAATACCAATGGTTAGAGGTATTTTCTATTTTAAAGTCCATTTAGCAAAACAAATAGCGTGCTCAATCCCCTCTAACTGCCCAAATTAACCCCCGTGCCCTGCAGAATTGCAAACATCCCCAATCGCAGTGCACGGGGCTGCTCTCCATCCCATCTGTCAGCGAACAGACAGCTCTGCCTTGAGCCCATGGCTCTCCCAGATGTGCTCACAGCCTTTTTCCTCTCCTATCTCGTCAACCCAAAAGCTGCTCTGATAGATAATATGGGTGGAGAAAGGCACACTGGCTGTGCTACCAGAACTATCTTGGTACTTAGGGACATCGGTTACTGGCACAGCAGGGATGAGTTTGGTGGGGCTTGGTGATCTTGGAGGTCTCCTCCAACCTTAATGATTCTTGAAAGAGATGTTAAGGCACAAGATGAGGTGATGGGAGGCAGCCAGCAGGGCATCACTGCGGGCAACCAGCCCACGGTGGGGGGAGGTGGAACTGCATGAGCTTTAAGGTCCCATCAAACCAAAACCTTTCTATGATTCCAATTCCTCAAACACCTCCATGCTTAGAAATCAGAGAGGTGACGGATGAGGAGCTGCGTCTGTCCCACATTTAGATGCTGGAAAATCCTCCTGACAAACTATGTGGCTAATTGGGTGCAGGTAATCTCATTAGGCTGTGGGGGCGGGCAGATGGCAGGAACGTCACAGTGCAGGGCAGCAACACATCATCACTGTGATGTGTTCTGCAGCAAACCAGAAACAGCAACAAAATGCCGCTTTTACACAAAGGAAATGAGAATAAACATGAAAGTGTGATTCTCTGTTGGAAAACAAACTCTGTGCTTCACCATAGAGAGCCACTTCTCAGCGCTGACACAGAACCAGGGCGGGGGATGACAATTCCTCCTTCCTGTCCTTAAAAGGAAAGGAAGTGCTGCTATCGCTCAGTAATAGTGCTGAGTTCCTACAGCCTCGAGCCAAGAGCTGATGGCTCCGAGCACAAACTGGGCACTGGCAGAGGGACAGCCCCAGCACAGCTCGCAAAACCCACCCCTTTGTGCTCTGTGCTGGGGACAGCACTCACCTCATGCCCTTGCAGATGTGGCACTGGGGGACATGGTTAGTGGACATCGGGATGGGTTGAGGTGTGACTGGATGATCTTACAGGTCTTATCCAACCTTAACATTCTATGAATGGGCATGGAGGGGATGTATTTGGGTTGGACTGGGAGATCTTAGAAGTCTTTCCCAGACTTAATGTTCCATGAGTGGACATGGTGGGGATGGGTTGGGGTTGGACTGGATGATCTTAGAGGAGTCCTCCAAACTTAATGACTATGTGACTTGCTCAACAGCACCCAATCCTTCCTAACCCACGGCTCACTCAACAGCCACCATTCATTTGAACAGCTGTACTGGGAAATTATGCCAAGAAGGCACAGTAACAGTGATTAAATGTCATGTCTGCTCTCTGCTTGGCCCTGGTTCCTGCAAACCTAATCATGTAAGAGCAGAGGAAAAGAGAAACCCTCCCAAGCATGGCTAAACCCATTAAAAGGAGACACGATGCCACACCCAGGAGGCAAATAAAATAGAAATGCACATCTGTGCTGCTATAAAACAGCTTCTGCAATATGTCTTGCATGACCTTTTATTACCAGACATGCAAGATCACTGCTGATGGGGAGAGAAAGGCCCTTCCTAGGCTGCAGGTGGAGCCTGGTGAGGCTGGGATGCGCCATGCAGAGGCACAAAAGCTTGGTGCGAATGGTGTGGGATCACTGCATGTGTCTGTGTCATCGCTTCACACCCCGTGTCCCCCAGCACTGCTCTGATGGGCGCCAAGCAGGTGGCACTGGGTGGCACTGGGTGACACGGCGATGCTGCAGGAACCAGTGGGGGCTGCAGGCAGCAGGATGGCACACACCACAGACACAAAGCACCCAGAATTCGGTATTATGCCGCAAGGATCCCCGATCCGCCTCCCGCCCAACTTCCATCCACGCCACGATCGGGCCCGACCCCCAGCTTCAGCACTCGCTCTCACACATAGGAGTGAATGGAAGCTAAACGGCCCGCCCCCAGGCCGACCGACACGTGGCTCGCCCAATCGCAGGGCGCGATGTTATCAGCCGACCAATCAGCGCACGCGAGGGGCGGGGCGGCGCTGACTTCCCGGCCGCTGCACACCTCAATGGGCCCCGCTGCCGCCCCCGCGCCGCGCTCACCCCCGCTTCGAGCCGCGCTCCGCTTCGTTCTCGCAGTCGCTGCAGTGCTCGTGGTCGTTCTCCTCGGCCGACGGCCGCTGAGGCCTCGCCAGCGGTCGCCTCACTGCTGTCTCACTGTCGTCCGCCATCTTGAAACGGGGCCTCGGCGGCTGCCGCACCCCCACAACAAAGCGTGCTGTGATTGGGTGGCGCGCCTCGGGGCATGCCGGGAACGGTAGTCCGCGCGGGTAGGCGGGGGCCGGGTAGGGCGTGGGCGGGAACTACAACTCCCGTCAGACTTTGCCGCTCCCGACCCGCTTCCTGCCCGAGGGGTCGGACTGATCCCAATGCGGGCGGTGCTGATTGGCTGAGAGCCGCACTCTCCGTTCCTCCCAGCCAATCGGCGTGCGTTACACTGCGTGCTGCGCGAAGCCGGCAGCGGGTGAGTGCGTGAGGGGGGCGAGGCTGCGGGTCTGGCTCGGCCCGGCGGAGGGGCTGCGGCCGGGGGTGTGGCTGCGGATTTCCACGCTGAGATCATGATTTATTTTTTATTTTTTCTCTTTTAATTTCATTTTCTGTCATTGCCGAGCCCCCGGAGCTGGGCTCGGAGTGAAGTTGGTGCACCTTGGCCTTCAATCGGCTTCTTGGGATGTGTGCCGTTAGGCCTCTCCGTTCTGTGTGGTAAAATCATTGAATTCACCACTTTTTTTTTTTTTTTTTTCTCTCCTGGTTTTGGCTTTCCTCTTGTTTGTTTGATTAATTAGTGCAGACCACCTCTGCCCCAAACTGCTCTGTTCGGGGGGTTGGAGATTCATGATCCTTGAAGTCCCTTCCAACCCTGACAATTCTGTGATTCTGTGAAAAGCAGCACCTGGCTCCTGCCCATCTGCAGGAAGGGATGATTGGCCCCTGTGTACAGATCAAATCGTTAAACATTCACACCTCACAGCACGTTGATACCTCGCACCACAGGTCTCATCTGCCCCTGTGGCTGTACGAGTGGCTTACAAACTCCATTGGGCTGCATTTTGGACGCCAGGCTTTCACACTGCTTCTTTACCCCTCAGTAATTCCTGCAGCTGTCAGCTCACAGAAGTCTGTAACGGAGGGACAGAAAGAGGTTTGTTGGGAGTGCATAACACAGGGACAGAAATAGATTCATTGGGATCATGTAACAGGACAGAAATAGGTTTGTTGGGACCAGGTCCCAGCTGGGGCCACAACTTGGGGTTACTGCGGTTAGAAACGCTGTATTTACTTTACATGGGCAGGAGAGTGTTATGTTTCTAAACACAGGAGAAGAGTTTCCTCCCCACAAAGCTGGGTACTGATGGCCTGAGCCCCTTCCTCTCTCCCACACCAGCACTGCTCACATCACAGGGCGTAGAACATGTAGAGCATCCAGGGCTGGATCCTAACCCACTCTGAAGGTGCGGGGGAGGGGGAGGAGGAGGGAATGCCCCGTGAGGGTCAGGTGCTCACTTGGCAACAAAGCTCAGGATTTACATCAGCCTCTTGGAGATCATTGATGTTTGTTGTAGCTGCCCTCTCTGAATTCCCCCTTCTTGCTGGAGTTAACCCCATCTGTTTGCCAAGAGGAAGGGAAGAGCGCATGTGGTGCTGCTGTGGGCTCTATGTGCTCTCAGCAGCCACGGAGCGAAGTTGCTGGCAGGTGCTGCTGGCTTTCCTCTCTTTACTTTAACTCCCACTTCCTCCCTGTGCCGAACTGCCTTCAGCTGCTGCTGAGCACATCCAGCCCTCTCTGGGTCCCATTTGTAGGACTGAGTCGTGACGCAGGTGTCTTTTTCTAGCAAAAAGGAAGCATTGAAATCACACAGATCATCAGGGTTTGGGGCAGGTGTCTCTCCAGGAGAGGCTGAGTTTCCCCTGGTCTGGCTAGGAGGAGGATGAGGGGTGGCCAAGAGCAGTCCACGCTCCAGGGATGTGGTTACTAAGGGGATGGAGCCGCTCTCAGCCGATTTAGCAAAGAGCTGAACCGGCCCCAGGGCTATCAGCAGGCACAGGGCTGTGTGTCTGTTGCCTGTTTGTGAGCTGACAGCCAGGAGCTCACTGCTCAGAGCCGTGATTTCTTGCATCCATCGTGCTGTCCATGCGGTGCGTGCTGCCGATGACAGTGCTGGCTTTCAGGTAATGCAGAGATGTGATTTACTTGCAGTCTCCCGTGGTCTGCGTCCCGATTATGTCAGAGGTAGCTTGTCTCCTCTTGCTCCCCATCTGTTGAGATCAAGCAGGGCTCACTATCTGTCCTCGTGGGCTGAAGTGCTGGGTGAGCTCTTCCCGTTGTCACAGATCCCGTGTCACCCTGCCAGAAGTGTTGGGTGTCCTCTGATTTGGGATGCTGTAGGTGAGGCACTGCCAGAATCTCCATGCTCTGGGGAAGCCTTGTTTAACCTGGCTCTGTTCTTCAGCGTGGGCACCCAGCTCAGAGTGGTGCCAAGACTCTAATAAAGTCTTGGTGACTCTCTGCAAATGTATGACTGGGCTCTGAATGAAGTTGCTTGTTTGGTATAAATATTTGATGAACAAAACAGCCGCGTCCTGGCACGTTTTCAGCTCTCTCTTTCTATTTCAGAGCGCAATGTTCCTGGTCGGGCTCTCGGGTGGAATCGCGTCGGGGAAGAGCACGGTGGTGGCCGTGCTCCGGGAACTGGGCTGTGCCGTGATTGATGCTGATGTTATTGCCAGAGAGGGTTTGTTCTGCATTGCTGATCTTTCTCCCCGATGTTCCCCTGACGACTGGGATTGATGTGCAGTGACGCGCAGACGGCAGAGGGTGCTCTGGGTACATTAGATCTGCTTCCCTCCCATTCCCCCAGCCGATGGGGATGTGTGGAGCAGCTGTCTCAGGGGATTGGAACTAAGATATATTTCTAATAAAAAAAAAAAAAAAAAAAAAAAAAAAAAAAGATCATGTCCTAATAACAAATGCCAGGGGAGATCTTACCCTGAGTTTCCCTCTCTAGGAGTGCTTTCTGGCTTTGAAAGCAAGCTCTTGGCAAAAGAAATGCATTTCTCCTTACACTGGTTCCGTGGGCTGATCCGACCTCCTGAGCCCCAGGACCTCACCCTGTAACTCAGTTATGCTGGGTGGTATCACTGAGCTGAAAGAATTCCCCTGGTGCTGGGTGTTAATACAGAGAGAAATCCATCCACAAAATCATTTATGCCTTAATGTGCTCAAAAAAAAAAAAAAGAGGCTGCAAAGATCTCAGCTCAGAGGGAATTCAGTCTGTGCTCCTGCACGTCTGCACCTTGCTGCTTAGAAATCCAGGCATTGGGTTTCCGCCAGCAGCGCAGGCTGTATCATTTTGAAGTGCTTTTCTGTTTGTTGAAGAACTTACCATGTAGCGGCTCAAAGCTGCAATGCTCTCACGTTTTATTGCACTGTAATTCCCCTGGAGGTGCTGGAAATTTGCTAGAGGTGCTCAGAGCCCTCAGAGGCCGTAGGAAAACACTATGGATGCCTGATGTCAGTTTTCTACCAATCGCTTCGTTTTTCTCCAATTCCTTTTTTATGTGTGTGTGCTCACTGTATGGATCTGCCCCACCCTGAAACGGCCTCAACGTGAAATTCCGATGGAGAAAGAAATTGGTCTTAAAGACTTTTATTAGGTTGGCCCACGGTTACAACCTGTGGCAACGTTCCTGGATTTCTGAGAGGAAATTACATCTGGTTTGCCACTCTCTGTGGCCAGCCTCAGCTTGATCTTAATTACATTTTTATTATTTCATCCTTTCTGTCGGTGATTTTGATGCCCGTTTAACGTCAGAGTCCCCCCCAAATACCTGCTGGGAATTGATCTCTGAGGCGCTTGCTGCATTCGTTCTCACAAAGAATTTGGTGGCTGAGGCTAAAAGCAGCAAAACACCTTTGTGACAGCCAGAGCCGGCGGTGCAGCACGTCCGAGGCGGTCGTGGCGCTGAATTAATGTCCCCAAAGCGCTTCGATCCCCAGGTGTCAGCCCTCGGAGGGACCTTGGGCTGAGAGTTTGCAGAGTGCTGCCTGCAGCGCCGGTGCCAGCTGTCTGCCGGTGCGTGCTGGCAGGCAGATGCGCTCTCAAGCTCTGTTATTTAATGAGCAAACCTCATTTGAGGCCGATCGCTGATGCAAAAGCTGCCTGTGCTGTGCAGTTGTCTCTGACCTCCGGCTGTTTAATGTTATCAGTGGTGCAGCCCCACCTGAAGGCCTATCAGCAGATCGTGCGTTGCTTCGGCCCCGAGATCCTCCAGGAGAGCGGAGAGATCAATCGCGAGGCGCTGGGAAACATCATCTTCTCCCACCCGGAGAAACGGCGGCTGCTGAACGCCATCACCCACCCCGAGATCCAGAAGGAGATGCTGAAGCAAGTCTTGAAGTACTTTGTGCTAGGTAAGGGCGACAGGGGCTGCTGGCTGTCCCCGTGTCAACGTGGAGAAAGGGACAGGGAAGGGAGCAGAAGCAGAGCTGAGTGACGGCCTTTGTGCTCCGCCGCTGGTGGCCTTTAGCATCAGCGTTTGGAGAATTCATCACTGCCCTTCCTGCCTTTCACTGCTGCCCTTCGCATGCTTCTTCTATGGTTTAAAGTACATCTGCAGGGCCTGAGAAAGGCATTGTGAGGCCTCTTTGGAGATTGCTCTTTGGATAATGTCATACCTTCTGAAATGGCCAAATATTATTCCCCGCTCCCAGCCTCTCTGAGCTTCGATGAAAGCTGCAGAGCACTTTTGGTCTCGATAAGGTGAGAAATGGGCTGACAGCTGTGCTTTCCAAAGTCCCGCTTTTCCCCCTGATAAATATAACAAATGCAGCTGTCAGACTTGGTCTAATCAAATGCCAGATAAGATCACCAGCTGTTTTGGAGGTCTCCGTGTAGACAGAAGGATGTCTTAATAGAGTCAGTCTGGTTTTGTGGAGCTTATCAAAGCTGAGCTGCTTGACAGCTGAATAGGGCTGTGCAGGGACCCCAAGATTTGGGGTGGAAGGAGCAGAAGGCGAGGGAAACAACAGGCAGGAGAGCTGGGAGCCAAAACACTCCGAGTTCTGAACCCAGGCTGCAAAGTCGGAAGGAAGACCCTGTCCTGCCCCTTGGCGAGAGTGCAGTGTGTGTTCAGCAGGCTGCTTTGTCCTCATTAGTCAGGTTTTAATGATTTGGGATAGCTGGATGCTGTCTCTGAGGATTGCTTTGTAAGGAAAGCTCTATTGATCAAGCCATAGGGCAGCAAGAAGCATCTCTAGACAGAGTTGCTGGTAAAATGGTGGTTTGCTGGGGGATTGTGCCTTTGTCCGGGCTTTTGTTGCCATGGCCTGGTTGGATGGGGAGCGCTGGCTTTGTTTATAAACCAGCAGAGCTGTCTGCAAGGATCTCCTTGCTCTCTTTGGGAAAAGTGAGACTGCTTAGCTAAAGCTTTCCATAAGGGAAGAAAACTAAGCTGGAAAATGAGCCGGGAAACATCGGCTTAACTGACTGCAGCCTGGCAGAGCCTTGGACAGCTGAAAGAGAGAAGAGCAAATTCTGCTGTGGGCACTGCTCCCCTGGAGAGGCTGGCGACGACGTGTGACTGCTGCTCCTGCCAGCCCTGCACTGCCGCTTCCATTTGAGCTTCTTGTTTCATCTCCTCATTATATTTCTGCAGCTTCACCTTTGGTCTGAGATCATCCAGGTTAGGGTTTCGGTTGTTTTTTTTTTTTCTTTCCCCTGCAGAAACTTGGAATGAAACCATTTCCTCTGTCTGAAAGGAGGGGGGCTGCTCCTCTCTCTGAGCAGCTGCACTCACGGAGCTGCAGAGTTTTGCTGGAGCAGCTGCAGTGCACGTGTAGGGCTGTTGGGAATCTGTGTAACGCTGATCCTTTTGGGGGTGTTGTCGTTCCTGCAGGCTACCGCTATGTGATCCTCGACATCCCTCTGCTCTTCGAGACCAAGGGATTGACCAAGTTCATGAAGCACACCGTCCTGGTTTACTGGTAAGTGCCGCACGAGCCGCGAGCACCGGACACCTCCCCATCCCTCCGTGCCCCTCTCAGCGCCGCCCTCTGCCCCGCAGCGACCCGCAGACCCAGCTGGCACGCCTGAGGAAGAGGAACGGGCTGTCCCAGGCTGAGGCCGAAGCACGCATCGCCTCGCAGCTGCCGCTGGATGAGAAGCGCCGTTTGGCCACTCACGTCATCGACAACTCCGGCGACCGCGAGAGCACGCGCCAGCAGGTGCTGCGGCTGCACGCGAGGCTGGAGGATTCCCTGGACTTCCTGTGGGCACGGCTGGCGGTGGGCACAGCCGTGGCTGCGCTCGGAGGGCTGCTGTACCTCCTTCTCCAGCATTTCATCTCTTAATCCACCTTTTTAGGGTTTTTTTTTTTTTTTTTTTCTTTCCTCAGTTGTTTTCCAAAGGCCTGGATTTCCAGGTTTGAAAAGGGCACTGAAAGGCCGCCTGTTTTAATGAGCTTTGCCAGCTGAATGCAGACAGTGGGGTGAGGTTTCTTCTACTGACTTCCCAAGGTGAATGTAAGTTTTCTTCCAGCGCCGTCTCCCATCTCTGTTCTTTAACTTTCTGCTCAGGGTCTGTGCCCATCTTTGAGTGGGACAGCTCCCATGGAGGGGATGAGGTCCTTCTTAACCCCATGGAGATCTGAATGGTGGCATTCCAACCTGTGGTGAATTCAGGCTCTTCAGCCTCTTTCAAGGCAATCTCTTTATGGGGGAAATAGGTGGGCTCTCAGGCCTGGTTCCTGCTGCTAAATGTCCCCAGGTTGATCCCCTGGGACTAGATATGAAATTTCCCCTTCTTTTGCTTTAAACCTGTGGTTGTGAACCAGCAGCATGCCATTCCCAAGGGCTGCTCGCAGACCCTCTGCCCTGTGTTTCTGCAGCCTAAACAACCCCATGTTTACCTTTCAAAGGGGGATGTTGCTGAGGGTCTGATGCACCCCCAGAGGGGCTGAGACCTGGGGGCTGCCCCATGGGAAGGCACTACTGGAGACGATGAGCCTGGGCGAGGCAGGTGCTGGCTCTTGGCGTTTGTTTTAATAAAGCACTAACCAGCAGACGGTTCCCTGTGGCTCTGAGATTTCCGGGCTGCAGCGCTGCTCTTTTCCTGGCCTTCTCCCAGGCTGTTCCTATGCTGGGGCACGGCTGCGCTCTGTAAAGTTCATTGTGTGCAAGCAAAGCTTACGAGCACACTTATGTGTTCCTGATGCAGAGCCTGGTTCCGGTCCCAGGAGCTCTGCAGCCTTGGTTCCTGCAGGGCCGTGGCTCAGCCCTGGCCCTGAGCTCTGTTCTCAGCTCTGGGTTCTTGAGCACAGAGTGCAGTGGGGTGTCCAGGTCCTGCGTTTGGTGTGACTGCAGGGACCTGTGGATCTCGGCCCTGGGCTGCTTAATCTGAGCATCCCAGCACAAGCAATAACCCTCCGTCATGCCCCTCTCCTGCTTTTTAATGTGCCTTTAATTGCAGTGGTGATGTCGGGGCCGGGAGTCCCTCCCAGCAAGCCATAAATCAGGGCTGGAGCAGGACAGGCTAAGCCAGAGATAAGCACTGATTGCGTTCCTCCCTCCCGGCTCACTGCCTCCGCGATAAATGGGGCTGCGATGAGGCCGGGGGCAGCGAGGCTGGCACAGTAATCACATTTGGCGCTCCGCTCCCGCCCCGCTGACGTTTCCCAGGCACTAATGAGTTTAGTAGGGCCAAGGGAAGGCTGATTTCAGGGGGGCTGAGAGGCGCAGTGCTGCCCAGCATGGGGATGGGGATGTGCGGTGTCCGGCTGTGGGGCTGAGGTGGACTCACACCTTGTGTCCTGGCTGCACAGCTGGCACCCGTGGGGAGGAATTGGATGCTGCATCCCCACTGTATTTGTCCTTCTCTGGCTGCCATGTCCCTCAGACTTGGGACTGAGGGAGCTGGGGACACACCCCGTGGCCACATCCCTGACCCTCCCAGGGGCACCCTGCACTCAACGGCTGTCCCCACCGGTGACAAATGGCTCAGCTCCGTGCCATTGACAGCTCAATCAATGGCTCTGGAGGGAACCCGAAGGGCAATGCACATCCATCTGGGTACTGCTTGAGACCTTTGTGCTTGTGACACTGGTGGCTGCCACCCAGCATGGGTCTGTGGAGGCACCCAGGTTGTGGGGACAGTGCAGTGTCCCTTTGTCCTCAGGCACGGGTGGGACCCAACACCCAGGGAGGAGCCCTTGGGGACAGGAGTAGAGGGCTGAATGGTGTCACTCATGGCACCGGTGTCACAGTCGCTGTCACCACGTGGTCCCTGCAGCATCACACAGTGTCACCATCACCACACGGTCCTGCACGCGTGGCACAGTGCTGCAGCACAGCCCCGCGGCGTCACCGCTCCGTGGTGTCACATGGTGTCACTGTCACTGCACGGTGCACGGGGTGTCACTGTTGCTGCCTGGCCACGGGGTGCCACACAGTGTCACTGCGGCTCCCATGGGTTGTCACACGGAGTCACTGTCACTGCCTGGCGCATGGGGTGTCACACAGTGCCATGTCATTGCATGGCCCACGGGTGTCACCCAGCCTCACGTCACCACTGTCCCGCAGTGCATCGCACAGCATTGCCATCAGCGCGTGGCCTGCGGGTGTCACCCGGCGTTGCTGTCACTGCATGGCCTGTGGGGTGTCACGCAGTGCCACTTGGCAGTGCCACGGCCACTCCCCTGCACATCCTGTAGGCCGTCACCCCTGCCACTGCACGGTCCCCAACCCACTGGGAGATGCGTCCCCGTCGTCCCCAATGCACTGGGGAACGTGTCCCCATGGTCCCCGAGCTGGTCCCATCCGCCCGCCTCATCCCTGTCCCCTGCTGCCAGGCAAGCAGTGATTTTCCATCAGTCACCGGCTGTCTCGATCAGCCAGGCTCTAATTAAGTATCGGTGTTGGCAGCCCTTAATTGCCAAGCGGTGGGAGGGTGGTGGCCCTGCTGCGCCCACAGCCTCTGTAATGAGCGGCCATGCAATGGGGACGGGCTGGGGGGATGTACTGCTCCAGCCTCACCCCAAAGCTGTGCCAGGGTTACCCTGTAGGATGGGGGGCATTGCCCAATGCTGAGCTGGGTATGAGGGTTAGCCCATGCCCAGCTGGCCAGCTAGCTCCCTGAGTCACCCAGATAGCCTGTTGGCCAACTGGCTACCCAGCTAGCCAGAAAGCCTGATGGTCAACCGGCCAGTCAGCCAACCAGCCAGTCTGCTGGCCATCAAGTCAACCAGATAGCTAACCAGTGCAGCGCCAAGCCACCCACCAGCCAGCCAACCAGGTGGTTGACCAACCAGCTAGCCACCTGCCAGCTGGCCCACTAGCCAGTTGCCTAGCCATCCAGCCAGCCGCACCAGCCACCTTGGCCCACTCTAACCAAGCAGGCAACCAAAGAGCCAGTGGGGTGTCTGGCCTGCTGTGGGTGCACAGTGGCTGGAACCATGGCCAAAGCACTTAGCAGGGACAAGGGAGCACTGTGCTAGGGCTTGCCTCAGTTTCCCCTTCTGTTTCTTTCTCTCCAGCTCCATGTTGCTGTCACAGTGTCCGGACACCATACCACACCATCGCTTGTCTGCAAAACTCCTCATTAACACCTTCATTTAATCAGCTCTGCTGCCCAACGAGGCGGTCACAGTGCCCTTTCTCAGTGCTGGAAGGGCTGCAGGTCTGAAGGGATAGAGGGATGCATGGAGGAATGGATGGAGAGATTAAGGTATGAAAGAATGAATGGAAGGATTGATGGATAGAGGGATGGATGGATGGATGAATGGAGGGGTGGAGGGATGGGTGGAAGGATGGGCAAATGGGTGCATGCATGCATGCATGGAAATGTGGATAGATGCATTCATGCATGGATGCATAGACGTGTGGAAGATGGGTGGATGGGTGGGCAGGTGTATGGGTAGAGGGATGAAAGGAGGGATGGATGGATGATGGATGGATGATGGATGGATGGATGGATGGATGGATGGGTGATGGATGTGCAAACGATATGGGGTTAAATTGATGCATGGATGCATGGGTGGGTGGATGTGTGGATAGGTGGCTGTGAAGAATACAGTTGTGTGCATTGGTGGATACAGGTAGGGATAGAGGGAAGTGTGCATAAATGGAAGGATGTACAGATGGATGGATGGATGAACGGAAGGGAGGGAGGGAGGGAAGGAGGGAGGGGGAAGGA